AGTGAGAAGAAGACTTAACATATTTAGAATTTAAGAAAATTTGTAAGAAATCCTATGGATATTTTATCATACAATGGATATTTATGGAAGTATCAAAAGATGAGAAGAAAAATACCACAATGAGTTATATGTGGTTTAGAAGTTCAAAAAAATTTATGAAGGAATTTCATGAAAGTTTATGGATAGGACATTGGAATATTTGAACAACATTTACTAAATTGAAAGAAAAATATTTGTAGAAGGGTATATATAAAGACATAGGAAATTTTGTAGGAACTTGTGAAACTTAATAAATATATTTAAATATTTGGTATCAAGATGGATTATATCCAACTTATCCTCTAATACTACATTATAAGTTCATAGTAGATTTACTAGCAATACCTATGGAACTTGGTCAAGTGAAGTATCTAGTACTTGTAGATGAAGATTTTTTAAATATGGTTGAAAGATGAGCATTAAAAACAAAAAGTATTGAAAGTGTATGTTGATTTTTTTTAAAAGACATTGTTTGTTACTATGATTGTATAAGAAAAAATCATTGTAGATAGAGACGAATTGGATGGAAAAGAAGCAAATGAATTCTTTAGTAGGATAGAAATTAAATTTTCTTTGACAATAGCATATAATCTAGAAGGTAATGGAAAGAGTGAACAAGGACATTCACTTATTGTTAAAGCATTCATAAAGTCATGTAATGATAAAGTACATCAATGGCCTATACTACTATCACTTGTACTATGGATAAATCACACAATTCATGGTTCAGTAATAGATTATATACCTTTTGAATCAATGTATGGAGAATAATCAATAATTCTAATAGAAGAAATATGGCCTACATGGGATATATTGCCTTAGAAGGATGATTTCAATAGAGAAGAACTTTTAGCATTATAGATTTAATAATTAGAAAGAAGACCTAATGATATTGAAGTTGCAATAGAGAGATTGAAAGAATCAAGGAAAAAGAATAAAGAAATATTTAATAAAAAAAACATCAACCATAACTTAAGGCAATTGAAAATGGCGATTGGCTATTAATTTATGATAGTAGCTTAGACAATCAACATAATACAATAAAGAAGTTTGTAAAGAAATGGTTTAGATCTTATGTTATCAAACAAATATACAATAATGAAACATACTTGTTATAAGAACTTGATAGTATAAAATTGAAGGTACCTATAGTAAGCAAGCAAATCAAATTATTTAAACAAAGAAGTGAAGGTATTTATTTTAATGAAGAAAAAAATATATTATAAAAAATTGAAATGAGACTAAAAAAAAATAAATTGAAGATCAAGAATTCGATAAAGATGAAGAGCATTCTATATTAATATGTTAAAGAAATTTGGTGTATGCTAAAAAATGCACAAGTTCAAGAAAAGTAGATGTTGTAATATAACATGGTTAATAGGTAAAAGAGTGCAAAAAATATTATATTTTAGAAGAATTTATTTCAAAATATTATAAAAAATTAGCTTAGAAATATAAATAAAAGTCAAAGGGTAGTAAACTAAAAGATCAAATGCTACTTATTTACAAAGTGGACTTCTATTTACTTTGTAGAACCATAAATAAGACAAAACAAGATAGATTAGAAATATAAAGAATATAAGAATATATAAGAAGGAATTAGGAATTGGTTTTAGCAAAAATTACATGAAAAAGATAATTTAGAGAGGAGTAATTTTTAACTTGGATCAAAATTAGACCTCGAGGCATAAAACCACACACCTATAGTAACTTTGGCATTTTTTTATAAATTAAAGAATAGAATATGAAAGAAAACTTTATAAGATTTTTTAAAGCATTATTTTTGAGCAATTTTAATTTGTAATGGCTTTGTAAGAGCTTTTCAAAGTTAAAGTTTTTTTAAGTGACTTTAAATTTTTTGAAATAAAATAAGATTTATTATTTGGACAATTTTGTGAGCTTTACATTACATTTATAGATAAATTTTGTGAAATTATGAGTATAATTGTGTTAAATATATGTTGTGAATTTAAACTTAATTTAATGGTTAGATTGGAGGCTATTGAAGTTCAAGTGGAATAAGATCTTGGAAATTGGATTTTTAGTCCTACCAAGGTTACTTAAGATTTGCAACAATTTGCATGTTAGATTGAAGTGATTTTTTTTTATTAAAGCTAATAATTGACTTGACTTCCAAGACTTATGCAAAATTTGAGAGTAAGTTAATAGTTCAATTAGAAGTTATTATTGCTGAAAAATCAATATTAAAGTTAAAGTTAGAAGTTGGCCAACACCTTAGTGGATTATGATGTTTTTCTCTCATTTTGTGAGTTTAATTCTCTTAAATTTTTTTATGCTTATTATTAATTAAGAAATTGAGAGATAAATAAAATTTTAAGTAAGATCAATAATTTAGTCAATAGATATTGAGATTCTTAATTGCTTTAGGATTGGTTTGAATTGTTTAGGTTTTGGATAGGATTTAAGATTTGATTAGAATTTGGTTTAAGATTTAAAATTTGATTAGGATTAATTTAGGATTTAAAATCTAATTAGGATTGATTTAAGATTTATGATTTCTTTAGGATTTCTTTAAGAATTTTTAAGAATTTTTTAAAGATTCTTGTCGATTTCTTTTAGTTTTTTTAGATTTTTTTTAAAGATTTCTATTAGATTTCTTTTAGATTTCTCTAAGATTTTGTAGATTTCTTTTAGATTTAGGATTTAGGATTTTTTGTATTTATTTTATAATTTATTTGAAAATTCAATTGAATTTGATCAATGTTTAATTATATTTATTAAAATTTAATTGTAATTTATATAAAATTCTATTAAAATTTTTAGGACTTGTTGTTGCAAATTTCTTTTACCTTCCACAACCAAGTGCCTAATACATTCTCAAGTATGACTTCATGTAATACAACAACGCAACCTAGCACTAATGCAAAACAATGCTGTGATTTTTATGTATCATGTAATAATGTAGTGCCTTATGATGTATCTAGATCTGTATCGAAGAATAGAGTATTGTGTTGCAAAATAATCTTGCAACAAAACAATGCTTTCTAATACAAAAATTCAAAAAATTGAAAAAAGATTTATTTATTTATTTAATCTACTCCATATTAATTTGTTGTACTATTAGTTGAAGGAAAGGAGACATTCTTATTAAGTCAAAGTTGATAAATCTATACACAAATAAATCAAGCTATCTCTTACATCACAAAAGAAGAATCCAAGAGTGCAAGTATCAGTAGAAGAAAATCCTAAAACTTTAGTAAATAGCTAAATCTCTATAGCCAAGCAAAATCTTATAAGTCTCTATCAAAATCACTCGTAAGACTTGATTTGACAAGAATGTCAAATCAAAAAGGTTTTTTACCTAAGTATTCAAATCTTACTTGACATTAATAAATTCAAGTACCAAAAAAAGCTAAATAGATAGAAAAACCACTAAATCCAAACTAAATCACATATATCCAATGGGATTTGGTAATCAACATGATATCATGTAACAATTTTCTAATTTATAAGAAAATTTATATATACATTTTAGATTTTTGTTTTCAAATATCTTCATAATTTATATATTTTGAGTAAAAATTATTACAATACTATCTTTAATTAGAATCATCCATAAAATCAAGAAATTCTTTAAATTATAACTCAAATAAAAATATAACATTTCATGTTGTAAAAAAATATTAAATTTTTATTTTATATATAAGTCATTATATAATTTAAAAATCACAATAATAATAATAAGTTTTATCAATGATGTTATTACAAAGAAAAAAAATTATAATAATACAAAGATCATTACATGCAAATGTCACCAACAAAGTAACATGAAATAAAAGATATTGCCAATGCATGCATATAAAAAGCATAGTAATTAGATTAAAAAATATCAACAATTTTTTATATCTTTTTTCTTCTTAAAGTTTTTCAATCTCAACTTTAAAATATTGATATTTTAAACTTTTATAAAAATTTAAGATTCAAGACTTAGTTTATTTTATCTTAAAAATTTTAAATCAAATATAAAAATAATAAAAAAAAATCTTTACCATAACATGAATGCATTTGAGATGAATGCATATTTTCTAAATATTAAATATGACATTGCTATGAAGAGTTTTGTGATTAAAAATTTCAAAATTATAACACAAATTTATTTTTATTCAAAAAAATTAATAGTATAGATCTTTGTAGTGAAAAAAAATATGTATTAAGAATATTTTGAATGACCAAGTTTAAATAGAATAATTTAAACATGTTTTGTTCTATAAGGTTATGAAATTATTTATAATAAGATTGAAACAAAACACAAAAATAAAGTCATACAACATCTATTTGATTAAAATCCTCATCATTTATCAATTGCAAAAAAAACTTCTAAAATTATACTACAGTCTTAGTTGCTAATATTTTTCCTAAAACACAACCACTATATATAATGCCATGTCTGTTTTGTCTTTTGTTACTTTCTTTGTTTTATACATGTCTATTTTTATGAATGCACAAACATGTTTTTTATTTTATTTTTATTTTATTTAAGAGTTAATGAAACATGGGATTGGAAATGAACAAGGCTCACTATTTCCTGGACAATATTGCCACCTCAATTGAGGTTACGAAATTGCCAAACCCAATATAAACCGTGTACTTGTCATACACCGCCGGCATACTGTGCCGTGATGGCCGCGCGTGGGGCGATAGGCGGTAGAGGCGCTGGGGAAGACATGAAGCGACGCCCGCGGGTTTCATGTCCCCGGAAGCATGAAGGAGCAACTCGCGGGTTCCATGTCAACAAGGGGGAACAGAGCAGGGCACCGCCACCGGAACACCAAGCCTCTCACTCACACTCACATACTCAGTCAGTCATCCCTCTCACCCACCCAGCTTTCCGACCCACCACCCTGGTTCGTCATACTGCACTGCCCTAGTGCAATAGTGCACTGTTCCCACTTACCCTAGCCCAGCACACTCTTACCCGCTCTCGCTATCTCGCTGTGGTTTTGCCTGGTGGATGCCTCGCCACCCACCATTCGCTCCCATCCTGTCCGCACCCTCTTGCTCACGTGCGTTCTCTTTTACGCCGTGTCTGGGATTTGGGATTCTGTTTCATCGGCGACGAAGGCTGGGTTTGTTGTGTGTGTGTGTGTGTGTGCAGGGTAGTTGGAAGGGAGGAGGAGGGAGGGGAGGGGTTTGGGAGTGCGGATTGACAGTGCTGGGTGCAGTTTTTGGAGTTGGGTTTGGGGGTGAGGAGGTTTGGAAAGGCAGGCTGTGTCCAAGTGGGGGATTTGCGTGCGTTGTAGATGTTGTGTACGCGGTGGGGCGGGAGCTAGGCCGGAGCCGTGGCTTGTGACTGAGGCCGGCAGCTGGGCCTCCAGCCCGGAGCTGCAACCATGTTCACCAATGTCTTCCGCATTGTGAGATTGCGTCCCCGCTGGTCACTCTGTTGTTGGAAATCCTCAAGAGTTTCGAGCATGATGCACGTGTTTGTGGTCGTTTCCGAGGCAACGGTGTCGGCAATGTGACTGTGTATCACTACAGCAGTTGGAAATCGAAGCCAGCCTTGCAATTTTCTAGTGATCATTGGTTCCGTGTCTGTTGATGTGAGTGTGTGCATGAAGAGAAAGAGATAGTGACGAGAGAAATAGAGAGAGAGGGGGGGGGGGGTGGTTTCAAACTCAATTTCGCACTTTTGAGTCAACAAAGCTTGCTTAAATTTACTAGCCGAGCTTTATTTTGCATTGAAAACTACTCTCCCTTCCAATTCCACTCATCGAATTAGCCATCCACTTGGAACTCGAGCTGATGTGGTTCTACAGGAAATAGGTTTTTCTGAGCCGGGAAGATATATTTTTCTGTGTACAGTAACAGTAGAAAAATCCAATTGTAAGCGTAGAAGAATAGGCTAGCACACATGTAACTTATCTGTAATTAGAGTTTTTTAGATGGGGCAGTGCGAACCTCTAAATTGGGTTGTGATCTTGTCCCAGCATAGGAAAGACACATAGAAAGAAGGAATTGATGGGCTGAAAGTATATTTGTAAGAGAAAGAGAGATTTATATGTTTTACTGGGACGAACTGTATTAGAGAAGAATTTCAGGCATGAAATACTTAATTGAAAGTGATACTATCTGTTGCTTTTTGAACTTTTACAATCTAGGCATGTATTTCTGTATTAAGTTTTTCTATGATAATCCGGCTCTTTTGCAGGGAGGACTACACCAAATGTCATGGTTTCAATTCCTTGCGGAGGGAGAGACTCTTTCTCCCAATTTTCCTTCTAGGTGCATATGCTTTCCTATGACTATGTTTGTGATTTGAGAAGCTTACTTCGACAAACAGAATTTGAAATCAGTTGTGCATCAGCTGGTATTGATGCCTACTTTCCATTATGAAAATGAGTTTGTCTTGGTGCTTTGAACTATCTTAACCAAATTGCGGTTGCATTTGTTGACAGGAAGGACAGACCGCAACAGGATATAGCTGCAATGCAGATGATGAGGGCACACATGTGGCTTCAAGAGACGGGTTATCTGAGTAGCTGGACCATTTCAGGTATCTTAGGTTTCTTATTGTAGATCCAAGATATTTTCACTGAGTGAGTTTTAAAATTATTCCACTTGGGCAAGTCGACTTGTGTTAGAGTCTATGCTTTTACTTTTCCTCGGATGGTCTCTGCTTGTTTACAAATACTTTCGTACTGATGAAAGACTTTGTTTCTGTGCAGATGGTAAAGTAAAACTATGGCTGTTTTTACCAGGGCGACATGACAGCCCCAACCCCCGGGTTCATGTTGCAGTTACAGGTCTTAAAGGTCAGTTGCCCGGCCACTAATGTTTATTGAAGTGATCTTAATCTGTAATCCTCAGGCGTAGGCTAATAGTGATGATCATGCTCCTGCGTGCTTAATGCAGCACTTGCTTCTGGACTTTGGCGTGCGCCTGGGGAATGCACTGAAATTGGTTTTGCCTTGGACCGGGCACTGCGAAATCGAATAGAAAAGTAAGATTTGACAACCTGCACTTGATTATAAGTATTTGGAATATGTCATCAAGAAACGCATTACTTGTTAAGTATATCGCTTGATCTGTACAGAATCCGCTTGGAAGCTAAGCATACAATGTTAATTCTGCTGCAGAGGACTTCAAACTGTGTCCTATGTTCGATTTGGGGATGTATTTATCAAGTGCTTGCGACAAAGTACCAACGAGTTGAACTTGAGGTACGGTTAATGGCTTGATAGCGTTGTTCCGTTTCTTTTTGTCTTTGTGATCCTATCCTGGCTTTGGACATGGGCCCCACAGTGCGTCCTGCGTAAGTAGAAGAACAATCAATTTTCTTGTATTGAAACTGCACGTTAACTGCGAAGCTCATCTCACGGCAACTTAATTAATTTCATACTGAAGGCTGTAAACGTTAGTATCGCTTTAGGAACCTGATTTTTATCTTCTTTGTTGTGGTGGAATCCTAATTTCTGAGGTGCATTTGACCGTATGGTATTCATCCGAAATACTTGTCATGGTTGCTTTGATTTTTGAACTTCAGTCGGTTCAGTTGTAGGAACAAGAAAGTCAAGTAAAATACGACTTCGTCGTTTCTGAATGTTACTTAACAGGCCTTTCTTGTTTCCGCGCTCTTTTCTGTTTCAGGAAGTCGCTTTTCAGCTGCGATCTTATGTTAACAACAAGCAGCGACTCCATCTTTGTGCACATATTGGTGCGCCGAAAGTGCGTAGAGAACCTTGTGAGGCACTCTTGATTAAGCTAGGAGTTTTCGTGAGTCTGTTGTAAACTGAAGCGTTCAGTGTCTTCTCATTTGTACTGTAGTGGAGGTCATCCAAGGGCGAGTTATTTTAAGAGTGGTGGGTCGTCGTAATTTTTTTTTGCGGTGCAAATTCTCCAGCCTACGTGCTTGTGAATGTGGAAATATTGCTGGAGAACTGATATCCGGATTGCGCACTACATCGCAGGAGAGTTCGGCAGCTTGTATTCAGTGATTTGCAGGCAGCACTTTCTCAGCAGAGATCCAGCTTGGGTGTAGGTGGCAACAGTCTTGCAGGTCTCTCTCTTCTCTGTGCTACAATTTGGTTAGAGTTACTGTTTTGATGGTTGTGAGTGTTGGATTAGGTTGGCAAATGCTTAACTAGTTTGTAATCTGGTGGCCTTTTTTAGTGGGTTCTTTTTAATAGGGTTGTCTTTGTCGTTGCAGTTGTTGTGGCCCCAAATGGGTTGTCTGGTCGGCTCACTGGGTGCTCTCCTAATGATTTAGTGACACAGCTGTATAAAAGGTGATTTTCCGGAATTGAGCTTTTCCATCTTTGTTCTGTGTTTGCGTAGTGACTATGGTGTGTATTTTTCAGTCTCCCAGTTCAGTCTACAAGCTTGTGCTTACCCTAGCTTAATTGATCGGCCTTGTATGAGAACTCTGACGATCATTTTCAGTTAAATACCTGTTTTAAAAGGACATCTGTTGCAAGTTAATGGCAGTTCACCATTGTAGATCATGTGGAGTGGGTAGTTGCCAAACCTCATGATTTACTGGTGCATCATGCGTCTGGACTATACCAGCTACACAGATGTAACCCCGTATTACACTGGGGAGGACTGCAGATACTGGGATGGCTGGCGTGATACCTGCGTACGTTTCCACTCATGCTGATTAGAGTACTATACATTGCCCCCTGCTGTCACTGTTGCAGCAAGCTGCAGGCATATGACGCATCATCCCTCCCGTTCCGTGTCGTAGGATCTACATCAGCAGTTGGAACTTCACCAGTGCAACAATGTTATGCAGAAGTAACGTTAGATGAATTCTCAGGCAACACAATAACTAACAGGTCTTCTGCTCCTGGGGTGAGTACTTTTTATAGAGCTCCAGCACTTGGGCCTTCGAAGATGTTAGCTTGATTGGCTTTTATATTGCTTTTTGTATTGACAATATGGAGGTTTTTTATTTGTTGACAGAAGTGAATTTATTTTTTTAATTTTATCTCAACTGTATTTTCAGGTTGCAAATACTAAGATGCACGGAAAATCAAGGAATGCAGGAGACCGTGGGCATGTTTTAGTTTATCCATTGGACGCAGTTCTTGCACCTATGCGGCCGCTAGTTCCTACTCAACCGCTTACTCGAAGGTTCGTAAACCACCCGAATCGTACTGAAGTGAGTCTTGGCTTATTTTATTTAATATTCTGACAATTTCCTGTGTCTGCATAGATGTTGGTTTCAAGAATGGGCAGGCACAACTTGGCTGGAAGACTGGACGAAAGAGGAAATCCTTCCTTCAAATAGGTTAGCGATTTTCACTACTGTGTACAACCTGTCAGAAGCAACTTTGTCCGTAGTATCAGATCCTTTCAGATTTTAGAAGTGGACATTTTTAGGCTGTTGATAGGACGGCATCCCACTGAAGTTCTTATGGCTGCTTTTTTTGCAGAAAAAACGGTCTCGATGATGGTGAAAGCAGAGAGAAGTCAAGTATTACTGGAATTGGTGTTAATGGCTCTGTTCCTGGTCACAGTAATGGGCCTGGCATGAGCAGCAATAGTAGTGGAGGTAGAAGTAGCGACAGCAGTCAAGGCAGTAGTGACACTTCCAGTTCAAGCGATGTTGACGGAGATGGTATGGCTTTTGAGATTCTCTGAACTGTGTTTGGAGAGTTTCAAGACTTCACCGGTCAGGTTGATAGCGGTTTAATGGTTTTGAGCTATTGTATGAATGAAGTTGCTATTTTACCTGCAGCATTTAGTATTGAAGTGCTCCACAATGCTTGGGTGCTGCAGAATTGCATTTGATGATTGAATTGTGCACAGGATTGGGAGAAATAGAAGCTGATGGAGATTCTTTGGGAAGTAAGGGAGTTGGAGCTTTAATCTCAAAGAACAGTGACATGCATATTCCTTCCACATCATCACAGGGACTGGATATGGATATCGGTGATATGAAAAACTCACATGGTGCTTATTCTCAGGTTGGGCCATTAAACATTTTTAGCTGGATTTTTAGGCCCATTTTTTTGAGCGTAGTTACTAGTGTTGGAAAGGTTCAGGATGATTGTGCATGGCCATGAACTTGTTGCTTTTATTTAACATGAGGGGTGGAATCGTTTTAATGTGGAATTATACGAAGAGCCAAAGTTCAATCAAGGAAAGTTAATGCTGTTACAAGATTGGTAACCTGTTGTTGATATCACAGTGCACTAAAAGAGGGCGTCAAGTAAAATCAATTGCTGCCTTTGATCCACCCTCGAAGGCTCTGAAACGCTCCAGTAGCATTGGTAACGATGTTCTGAGTCTTATGGATGGAACAAACAGTGATAAGAAGGGAACAAGTTTTTTGGGAGAATCTAGCGGATTAGGGGGTGGTATCATTGGAGGTGGAAGTCAGCTTGGGAACCCTTGGGATCAGTGGGATAATAATGACACCTTTGATATGGGCCTAGGCATGGATATACAAAGTGATGCTGACATCCTAGCTGAGTTCAGAGATTTTGGAGATTTTTTTGAAGATGATGGACTTGGGTTTGGCGAGGTGAGTACTCTCCACAAATTCACTGTAGGTATTTATGATCGGTTTGAATTGGCGAAGTTTGAATGAATTGTTGACGTTGAGTTCTTTTTTCACCAGAGTCCCCCTGTAAAGGGGTCTATACTGTACGATTAATCAGTGTAATCTAAGCTCTCTTGATTCAACAATTTTGTTTAGATAATTCTAAAAACAAACTATTGGTTTTGCAGCCCCCTGACACAGCTGAATCTCAAGCACTGATGTTCTCTCTCCCGGATTATGGGGAGGTCAGTCAGACTCCTGGCACTGCACCTTTGGATGTATCAGATCCGCTGGTGCTTCCTATTCTTGATTTTCCTATGTTAGGAATGGATCAAAATACAGGGGACCTTCTAAGTGACATAAAACCTACTTCGTCAATGGAAGTTTCTCAGGCTCCTATTGAAGGGCCTTCATCTCCTTCTCGGCATTCTCCTGAGCTCAATTTACGATTGAAGTCTGAAGCTATGCTCTGTTTTGCTTCCGGATTTGAGCCTGTTGACATGGCCAGCGTGCCAGATGTAGGCGTGTCTACTTTAAGGTCAGATTGATTATAATTGTTGCCTGTTCTTGCTAATAACGGCTCATTTAATTTTTGTGAACAATGGAGACGTTACAGCTGTAATTCATTTCTCACTTTTGCTTGTGTAAAATGTTTCGTGGTTGTGATTACTTTGAAAAATTTTGTGTCGTGATCGTGGGTTGCTAGAGTGTACGGAGTGATTTATATTGTAATGTTTGGAGTGGGTTTATTGTACTTGGATTTCTCATGTTGAATTATATACAAGGTAATTTTCGTTGCAGGGACCCATATGTACCTGCGTCGAAAAGAAATGCTCCCAAGTCCGTTCAGAAGGACCTTTATCAGTACTCAGCAGCACCCATTTCATACGCAAAGCCCGAAAGATCTGATGTTGGGAAGGATGAACAAAGAAGCACGAAGTCTCCCAACGAATCTGGTGAATCCAAAAGGAAGGAGCTAACGGCTGATTATATTGTTGTCTCAGGCGCACATGGATCCAAGCATCTGAATGGCAAGTTGCTTACCTCTGTTGATGAAGGTCCTGATAGAGCTGCAGGTACGACTCTGGAATCTAACAAGCAGTCAGCGGATACCAGTGGTGGTGGCAAAGGACCTCAGATTCCAGGGGATCCTTTCTCTGCTCAATTTCCATCCACTGTGAAACTTAAAGAGAGTACAAAATCATCCATTCGATCCCCTGTTGCTGTATTAGCAACCGAGTTGGAGTGTGCTCTACTGCAGGTGATGAAATGCCTCACAGAGGATTCTCCCCCTTCTGTTTCTGGCAATTCAGTTGCAGCAAGCCCAGGAATTGAGGCAGCTAGATCTTTTCCGTTGCCGTCAAAAGATGGTGGGTCTGACATCACTCAGGTGCAATTCCTACCACCGTGACTATCTGGCCTGTCTCTCTTCATGGTGTGTTAACTGCTTTTCAATTATTCTTGGAAATTGATATTGGTATCGCTTTAACTTCATACCATTTAGCTCAAGTTCATTGAATTAATATATTGAAGCTTTCGTGATGTTGTTGGCTTGATTGTCATATTCTTCAAATGAAAATTTGTATTTATTATTACAGAATTCACGATAAAATTGTCTTCTTTTGAGGTGACCACCATTATGTTCTTAACTGTGAACTGTCAATAGGTACAATTCGACCTTCTAGCTCAGTCTGCGAGTGGCCTTCCTAAGACTCAGCGAGAGCGGCAAAAGAAAGTACCAGAGAGAATCGCTGGTTTTGCGGATGGTGACATGCATGATGGTGGAAGCCGAATTGCTCAGGTTGGTGTGTGGCGTCCCGTGGGTGTTTCGAAACCATTGCGATCAACCAACACCTCCAGATATGCAAATTCTGTAGATTTTCCCTCGCGTGTGTCAAACTCGACCTCTACTGTAGACCTGGACATGGACGATGTTACGGCTTCTGGCGAAAGTCAGAGACAATGGCGGGAGCTTCTAGAAGCTGTTCCGATGCTGGCGCAGCAAGCGTCTATAGCAGTGGATGTTTCACTGGATGGGCGATATGGGGATGGACCATTTGGCTGGTTAGCTGCACAAGAGGTGCAGAGGCAGCAACGCAAGAGCAGTGCAGATTGCAGTCAAGAAGGAGGAGGGGGCATGCTGTCTTTCACGAGGTGTCTTGACCAGTCAGGAATGGAAATACTTGATCCACTATCTGATCAGATTTCAGCAGCAACAGCATCCAACCTTCTCCAGTCTGATATGAGGGTGGCAATGGCCAACGCTTTTGGAGATGGTGCTGCCGATGGACCCTTGGCTCTTGTTGATTGGTGTAAAGGCTTTGTGCAATCCTCAGATGGTGGACTTTGTGCAGAGAGTACAAATACAGAAGTGAATAGCATTGTTACTGTTGTGGGAGAATCTATGACTCCGTCCCAGTCTGGTGGGGGTTTGAAAGGGGCTGACATTGACGACATAAGGCGGAACAGCAGCAGTAGTCGTGCTATTGATTCGTCGTCTCTTTCGGATCAGACTGACCCTTCTCAAAGGAGAGGGTTGAGCGATGATTCTGCTGTTAGTCACGCTGATGCCTTCGGCTACAATGAAACCTCTATTCTCGCTCTTCCCACACCATCCTTGCTTGTTGGGTAAGTTTATCGGTTGCTGCTATGTTGAATTTGCAAGATTGTGGTAAAACTCCTTATTGTGCACCTGTATCCAATAGTTTTGGTCGTATGTCGTAATCGATCAACTCGTGTTTTGATATATCTATATATATATTTATGCACACACAAAATAATCTGCTCGGTCTTCTGTTTAAGAGCACATATTGCGCATGATAATTGCTCATTACGTTATCCTTTGTTGAGCTTTTGGATGGTTTCGTGGCAGTTACCAGGAGGATTGGTTAAAGACATCTTGCAGTGCTCTTCATCTCTGGGAGAAGGCTCCGCTTGAACCATATGCACTTGCTAAACAGGTAACTAATTTTTATGTTCGAACTTCTGAAATCACACATTCGAGGTTTGTAGACAAAATCGTAGACTTGTTGTGTGTAGATGTGAACAAATTTAGGGATTTCTTCTTCTTTTTCATGTGGTTATATTGCATTTGGTCGCCTTATTTTTTTCGGATCAAGTTCTTTGATTTGATCACGGTTTATATTCTTGGTTGTCCAGGTGAACTATCATGTGATATGTTTAGCTTCAGAACCGCTTGTTACTGCTGCTGCGGATTTTTTCCAGCAACTCAGCTCTGGTATGTCCTCGTGTATTTGTAATTATTTTAAGTGGTTAGTACTCTAGGGAGGATACCCATGCGAGCTTAAGTGCGGAGATTTGCTCTAGTGTGATCTTTAAACTTAATCTTTCCCTGTTTAAACTGGTTGGAATATGTACATTTTATTGTATGCCTAATTGCTTTATCTTTCGGTTTAGTAATGAAGATGACTTCAGTTTGAATCGATCTCTTGGTAATACCTCTTTGAGTATTTTGAATTGAAGCTATTGAATTGCAAGCCTTGGTTCAGTTCAACTCTATCTGTGAATAAATCATAATGTATTTATGTTGGTTTTGGATGCAGTGTATGAAATTTGTCGGCTTGGCTCTCACCTGCCGTCTGGAACAGCCGCTGGGCCAACTGGTTCAGTCGGAAGTTTTAGCAAACAGTCGCTATCTGGCTTTACTCTTGTGGATGTGCCTGGTGTATCTCACTCAGGTGCACGTGGGGAGTTCCACAACGCATCTAACTATAGCTTGGCTAAGGCTTTTATGGGTGATATGGCTGCGAATTGGAATATGGCGGAATATAGGAAGGCTCTCAGGAAAGTTTGTAAGGCATTGCCCTTGTCATCTGGATCCTCAGCTAATCAGAGGGAACTAGAACTCGGCCCGTCCACGGTACGTATTTTGTCACGCTTATCTAACATATATTTGCTTATTTCTACAGTCTATTGAGTGGAGCTCATTTCTGCATGCAATCATGAGTTGAACAGTTTAAAGTGTGATGAACTAGATCTGGAAGTGTGCAACAATTTTATTCAACTCTTTTCACCGTGTATGAACCTATCACACAACTTTGGCCGTAATTTTTTTTCAGGTTGTTTACGTTGTGTGTCCTGTTTCGGACCCTGCTGGGATACTTCAAACCATGGTTGATGCTTGTGCAAGCTTAGGCTCTGCTATAACAGGAGCTGATTCTCAACGTCATGCACCATCGACATCAGGAGAGGACACCATGCCCCCCAGCCTTTTAGGATTTTCAAACCCTCGGTTTTGTTTACAGTTGATTACCGCTGAAACAATATTCAAGAGTAGTGGACCCCAAGCCTCATGTGTAGATGTCTTAAAAGAGGTTGCAATGGGTGTGTACAATAAAGTTCGTCGCATACCACGTCACTCTCAAAAGGCAGAGTATCTGCAGAATTCTGGAGCTTCTGATGCACGTGGTCAGTTTGGGAACACTGTAAATCCTTCGGGATTGCAATCAAATACCCCCATGCCTGGTCTTTGGAAAGACTGTAGCGGTCAACGAGGCAGCGGCCATGCTACAATTGCTACATTGAATTCCAGTAAGAACCACAACATATGGGATGGTGGTTGGAAGTCATCTACACAAACTGATATAGGTATTTGCTCACTTCGAATAGTCTTGTGTAAATGTTTTAGTATTCTTGTGCAGGTAGTGCAGATTGCAACACCATATATATCTATATATATATATATATAGATAGATAGATAGATATATACAGTCCCTCGTGGCTTCTCTGTCTTAATCTTGTTCAAATTGAATTTTTCATTTCCGCGACACAGATGATGGGAATGAAAAATGAAGTGTCTTTCATAGCCATTAATGGTGTTTCTTGTGCCAGCAGGTACCGCAATTAATCAAGTAACTGATGAAAATGTAAGATATCTGTATGAGCCTGCGTACATCCTCGCTAGAAGTGGTGCTCAAGCTTCAGCCGTAGCCTTTTGTTCTGATGCCATACGTGATGCGGTGGCTGGTTGCAACCCCAGGGCTACTGGTAATGCGAGTAGCGGATCTGACGTAGACTCTACTGCAATAACGGAAAGAATGGATGCGGATGCAAATGGTGTTGCTGAACAGGCTGCTGACCTTTATTGCTGCTATACTTGGTCAGTGGATTGGAATTGGTTGGTGTCAGTGTGGACTGATGCTAGAGGAGAACTTTTGGACACCCAATTGCTATCTTTGACTGGAATTGATACTACAAGAGAGAATTGTCTGCAGATATTATTTCATCAGATTTTACAGCAAGGCCTACAGCTGTTGAATTTGGCGGTTGAAGCAGGCAGCTGTAGATCTCGAGGGTTGAATATCACCCGCCTTGGTGGATTTTATGCCAAAGAAAGTCATGGTATTTAGTTGGGCGCTTGAACACCTTCTGATTTGGACTTGAGAACTCATACTTTTTATAATGATTTGTTTTGGGGGGAATGTGCATTGGATGCACAGATATATGTGTTCGATTTATCTGATTCAATTGTCGTGTCTTGTAACCCTAAAACAGAATGGCATCGGGTCATAATGGCAGCAGGAGCTGATGAAGTACGAAAGTGGCCGGTCCAGATAGGACACCCGGACTGTCATACTTCCAGTTGTGTGGGAGGAGCGAGAAGTTTATCGGACATGGGGTTGATGTCTGACAGAGGTCTTGGCCTTGGTGGCAGTGGACCAACCTCACCTATTCCCTCGTCCTCTTCATTCGGTGGACGCGAGAAGACTTCTCATTCCAGTAAACCTGGAGTAGATATGAGCTCCGGGCTAAACCGACGGCAGAATCAAGCTTCGAATCAAATGGGACCAACTGAGTCTACCATGGAAATGTTCAAATGGGTTCACAGTGTAAGCTTGGTTTCTGTGCGTGTGGATCAGAGTCTACAGATTCTTTCTACTACTGAGGGTATGACACCTAATACATGGGACTTCTCCTAGTTTATTTTCATTTATTTACAACGTTCACCTTTTCCAAAACACGGTAACAATTATTATTTCGATTACTTGTAAGATTTAGGGAAGTCCTTGAAAATACTTTGGTACATATTATGGGATGTGTAGTTAATCTTTTATATTCGTAAACATACTTCTGCAGGACCTGCTGAGGGAACTTCCTCGTCAGGACCTTCATGGCCAGCAGGCTCCGGCTCCGTTTTAAGTGGAGTGGTGAGCGTGGGTGTAAATACGGTGAAAACGCTAGCATGGACGGGGGCGTCATATTCGATTGTTCCTTCTCACGTGAATCGACCCCTGTCTACTTCCTCGGTGGAGCTTCTCTTGAAATGCCCACATACTGAGCAATCCCCTTTGGCACAGCTGCTCCAAAGCACTGGGCTTGCTTGTCCAGTCTCCACCGCCTATACTGTTTCAGCAGGTACAAGCTCCACTATTAATGACTTCGCTCAAAGAAGTAAGGAGGACTGGCCTTCTACTATGAGCATGGGATTGGTTGCCCATTACGGTACCTCCACTACGGCCCAAGACTCTTCTGGCGTTGCCACGTCATCTAAAGGCGTTAAGCCAGCAGTCGTGGAATCGAAGGAACAAGCACTGGAAGTGCAACGAATCCTACAAACTGTGGCTTCAGATCTGCATGCTTTGTCTTGGCTTAACGTTGGCGTTACCTGCGTTCAGCGTAGATCACCCCTTCCCTTTCACTGTGAAGTTGCGCAGCGCACCCAACGTTTGCTTGACTTTTTAGATGCTGAATTTGGATATGGGTCAACAACCATTTCATAGGGGTTTACACTCATAGTTTGACAGAGGTTTGGTATGTTGTGCAGCGGTGTTACTCTCTCAGTTCTCCGCTATTCTTTTCTCAACTGTGCAGTTGAGGTTGTGTATTTTGTTATATTCCGAGGTTTCAAAAAGGGTTCTTGCCACGCATTGGTTTCCAACATCTAGTTCTTTATTTGTGGATGATGTGATATGGGAGTGTCGTAGTAAAAAGGCAGCACACGCTAATAGTTGGTTGTCTGTTGAGTCCTTCAGCTTGCACACAGAACACACATGCATTCTGAAATGAATGGTTGGTATAGTCTGTATTGAATTGGTTGTCTGTTGAGTTCGATTTTCACGATTTGTTTCACGCTGTGTTTCGTCTTTTCATATTTGTCTTTTTCCGATGAACATGTTCGAGTTACGTGGACGATGGGGGCAACTGTTGGTGTTGGTTCCGTGGGCCCCACAAAACTAATACAGGAGCAACATCAGTTAGTTTAGAGTTGAAATAAAATCTTCTACAAAATTTTTGATTAAAATAGTGAATAATTTGGAAAAAATAGGTATCAATAAAATGTTAAATTATAACTAATGCAATCAAAATACTAATTGAAATTTGACTTCGTGTATACATGATTTGTATAGAATTGGTAAATGTGTAGAATTAATACACATTTTAAAATATTTATATACACCAGTAGAATTATTATATTTTATATATTCTTTGGAATTTTGTTATAGATATTTAAAATGCTTACATTAATACTAAATATTTTACAAAAATAAATAAATAAATAACGAAATTCTTATTATTTTTTAATTTGAGTGTGTGGCTCTAATATAAAGGAATGAGCAGGGCTATTTGAATTCGTGTCAATAATATAACACATGAAAAAAACCAATTTTCTACATAAAGAATTAATATGCAAAGAAAAAGTCAAAGGGAAAGTTGTTTGCAATGCCACATGCAATGAAAAGTGACTAAAAGTACAAAGTAAGCGATGGGATTCGATGACACCCACTAGTTGTATAAACAAGGTCAAGGCTCTCTCTTCTAATGACTGGGAATAGCAACCAACAAATACTGCACGTGGATTGGTTACCAGATAACCTACGTGGATGTGCCCGTGCCCCCTCATCTTCGCCGCCGAACCTCTGCTACGGTACCGAGGCTGAGGTGAGGGTTGAGGTTCGGGGACATTGAAGCCAAGGATTGGGCATTCTTCTCGTCGTCGTCATCGTTTCAGAAATCATCTCGACCTCATCGCGTTTTGGCCCAGTCCAACGCAGGCACGCACGTACGCACGTAGAGGCATCCGCTCCGACGCATCGTGCCGCTGTTTGGTTTTGGTTATTCTGTTGCTCTGGCGCATCCGCTGCACCTTTCCTTCCCATTTATGAAGGCTACGTTGCATCCCTACGCTGCTGCACCATGAAGTTCCTCGAGTATACCCCGCTTGCTCGGTATTGTTGCCGTCTATCTCTTACTCCCGTTCCTCGTAATTCCTTCGTTTCGTTTCGTGTTTTTTCGCCTTGCCGTACCCGACGCCTAGTGCCGTAACCGTTCTGTGTACTTGCGCCGTGTCACTTGCGCAATGTAAACCCTACGTTGGCAGAATAAACGCTTTTCTCTCGCATGTTGATGTGGGAGGATGCATGATTCAAGGTGGCTTGGAGGCATACTCATGTAAGTTTTCTCTTTGAACCTAATGTTTCCGTGAGTATTGAGGATATATATATATATATATATATATATATATATATTCACACACACACACATACACATACACTCTGTTTTTGCGACGGTGTAATCGTTAAAATTGTGATTAGTAAATAAAGTAGGTTGAATAGTTGCACTGTGCTGGATGTTATCAGCTCGAAATTTGATGAAGTGAAAAAGCGAACTTAAAGCGTGCATTCAACATCCTTCATAGTGGTAAGCGGTTTCACTCAGGTAGCTAGTTCTTTTGGTTGTGCAGGCAAGCTTGCAGGAGTTGATAAGAAGCTGTCACGAAGTTTGGAGCAAGAGGTTGGTGTTCGATTTATTTATTTATTTATTTATTTATTTTTCTCCCTTCATTATTGCATAATTAGTATGATTTATTCAGCAATTTCTTGATATTTATGTTGGTCTCGTTTGCCTCTTCTGTCTCAATCATGAGCGGGCTGTTTTACAGGTTGTGGATTCATTGGCATATTTACCCTTTGACCTCTCCACTTCGCCTGTTGGGTCCCTTTCTAGTACTGCAAGGTAATTTTATCCTCAGTTACGATCGATCTCAAAGTCCGATTGACTTTCGAAACTCAAGTACTCGTGTTATACTACTTGAGCCTGATCATTTTGGCATGTGCGCGTTGTCTGGGGTCTATTTCGTCTCGAAGGATATGTTAGCAAGTTTGTGTGTCTACCACCATGCAGCGTGCACAACTCCATCGATTTGAGTTATTATTTGACAAAAAATGTTATCTAGTTGTTGTGGATGCTATTAATCTCCTTTTTAGAAGAGGTATCTAAGTATACAATTGAGAAAGAGTGCTCATAAAGTCCCTTTTTATTTAGCTTAATGGCAGCGTAGTCCTCTTTTCCTGTGGGTGGGATGTTTTTTATGTGAGATTACATGTTTTTGGATGCAGAGGCATCTCTTTCTATATGGCTCAGCGAGATTTTGTCTCTAATGATTTTTTTGTGATCATGGAAATGTTAACCGCTTGGTTCATCTGTTTTCAGTCGCAGGACACTAATTTACCTGATTTTGACCTTGAATCATATGTATCCTGACTACGATTTCAGGTATTGACATCATTCAAATTTTAGTCCTCTATGATCATTTTATGATGCATCTCTGGACGGTCATCAGAGGAGGCTTTGGTCATTCAGGCTTTGCGATTTTTTTTGGTTTGGGTTTAGTTAGGTTTCTTTGGGTACTGCCAGTGCCTACTTGGCGGGCAACCCATTTTGTTGAAAGGAATTAGGAAGTGTTGTCAATGGTTGACAAGCGGTATAAAACCGTTGCTCCCGAAGGAGCTGAGAGTTCAAGTCTCTCCATTTCCTATTACTTCCTATACGTAGCTTGTTGAGCAGTTATAATGATAAACAGCTTCACATCGGGGAGAAGTCGAAAGCTAATCTGACTAATACTTTGACATGCTTATGTCGATATACTGATCAGTATGTTGCGACCCCAGCACTTCATTAAAGAACATGGAGTTTTTGCTGCAAAGCAAAAGATTGACGTATCTTTGGTTGAGGCATCCAAGGTAGAACATCAATTGTTCCATCGTCTATCGTCTGGTGGAGAATTTGTATTCTTTAATGGTTTCGTGGTGAACTAATGCTGTTATTTCCATTGCGCATTAAATAAATTGGCAAGTCCAATGATAGTGTTCTTTAATCATGAGCGAGTAAAATTTTGCTGCGTTATGATTACTGTCAAAGAATCACACGGGTTGATCTGATGGATTCCCTTAAAATTTCAACATGTTTCCGATGTAATTATAGTTAAGTGGAATCTAACATGATTTGATGTTCCAATCGATGCCTCCTATTACTGATTAGTGGATAGGCAATATACTGGAGTTTGAAGCTTTCCGACGGGTGGGTACATTTTAACACAATTTCAATAGCAGATTTGGTTCACAGAAGTTGGCGAAGAAACAACATTGATGGACAGCATATGGAATGCCATTGATGAGGTGAGTGGAGTACTGTTAGATTGGCAACTATCACTAGGTCGAAGCCATTTCGTTATAATATTTATCATTTGGGGTTCAATTCCACATTCATAGTTAATCGAGCTTCAATCATCTTCGTCCTATAGAGAGCTACTATGTAGCTCAGTTTATGCTTGCTTTTATCACACATTGCATTTAGTGTTAAAAAATCTATTTCAGGATCTAGCATGCGTGTTCTGTGCAGCATTTTGATTTCGCAAATGCATTATGTCTTATTGAGGCACTATGCACTAAATACCTTACGCAGTTAAAGATTTTCGCTTCAAGAGTGAACGGTATTGGATGTTTTAGAAATTACGATGAAACAGTAGTTGTTAAGCGAAGATACAGTTGTGGATTGTCTAGGTGTCAAAGTTAAAAACCATATTAGTTGGCAGTAATTTTTAATTCGTGGGCTGAATTCTGCAACGTTGAAGTAGATCATCGGAGGGTGAATAAAGCTCCTGTTTCTGTCCGATCTTAACAAATTTAGACGTGTAGCGGCATCTTTCTTAGTTTAATATGTTCCCCATCTAGCAGGTGATGACTTTGGAGGATTGTGAAGTATACAGTTATTCTCCTGATGCTGAAGGGGATCCTTTTGCTGATACTGGCAGCATGTGAGTGCTAGACTTAAACATGACTTTTAAATGTATCTTTAAATTCCCTAGGAGTCTATCCTTGAGTCTACGTTGAGCCTTACATTGGACCTTGCCTATTTTGATTAGCCGAGTATTGTCAGTGATTACTGATGATTTCATGCACCTTGATAACCATACGCTTCAATCCATGGGATTAAGCTCAGACAGAAGTTCTTGTAATGCAGGTTAGCAGATCGTCTGCTTTGTAGCTGACTTGTTTTTGTTGAGCAGAAAACAGTCGACTAAAGTATGGTGCATAGGATTAGGTCAATTGTATTTTAATATAATTGCACTTTAATGCTGAATGGTTACGTGGGCCTCTAGATGGTCTTTTAACTACTTCTTTTACAACAAGAAGCAGAAGCGCATACTCTATTTCAGTTCACGATGTGCAAGGTAGTTTTCATTCATTGTGCATTGCCTGATCTGGATAGACATTATTCAGTTATATGCTGTCATTATTTCATCGGTTGTATGCTATTATTAAATGCTTAACATTTTTTGTAGTACTTGTTTTTATTACAACGTTGTTGTTGAAATGTGGGGATAATGGGTTTTCACAATTGCTCTTGCAGCAGAGTCGATTGGGCAGAAAGCAGTTCCAGGCCTTTTTTTAGAATTTTATGATTAAGTTCTCGAGATGACATGTGTCTGGTTACCCTGTTGATTGCAGCAAGTTATCCATGGATATGACTTCAAGCGATGATGGATCTGCCGAGTGGGACTTCGACTTTGTGGATGGCATGGACCTTGAAGGTTGAGGGGGAAGCCACCTTCTGTTAATTCGCAGTATATTTTGTGTTCATAGCTTGTACATAACACGAAAAAGTTAATGGTAGATGTAATCGCACTGTATTGTACCGTTACGGAAGCCGGCTTAGAATGACGATATAGTGTTGCATAACTTTCCCCCATTCAACCGGGATTGTATTAATCAACTCCTCTTTCCTTTTTAGTTTTTACCTTAGAATTTCCTTTGTTTTTGGTGGTGTAGTGGGTCTTTAATTTTTTTTTACATAAGTGTGATGCACATACTAATCAGAGTGTGATTATCTATTGTACACAACACAAAAAAGAGTAAACACTCTTCTTATACAAACTTATACAAAAAGTAACCAGTGGTAAATACAAATACAATCAACCGCACTTAAAATAATCATTAACTGTCCGTGTTTTTATTTTCGAAACTAACAACATATCCAAACTTGTTCAAAACCACAAATATGTATATTCTTTCATAAAAAAAATAGAAAGTGGAGATCTCAATGAATCTCTTATCACAAAACGACATCGCAATCTCGAACAAGCAAGCTCACATTTACAAATGGCTTTCTCTCTCAAAATTGCAAATTACCAAAATAGCATAAATCTAGAAACATCTAATCATCCTGGAAGAGGTGGAGCGAGTGGCATCGAGGTGGCAGGAAGGACGTTCAGGACCCAGATGGAGTGCGGCACCGAACCCAGAGACCGGGATGGAGCCGAGCAAGGGAGAAGAAGGAATGGGGAGGTGATCTGACGGGGCAGCTGGGATGGGTACCTTTATTCCAGCACGGGCGAGGGGAGTCGGGCTGTCATCGGGCATCACCGGGTGGGGAGGGAGACGATGAGGAGGAAGAAGAGGAAGAGAGGGAGAGGACGAAGGAGGAGGAGGACGAGGTCGTAAGCATTGCCTCGGTTTTCTGCGACGCTCTTGCTCCCAAACCGTGTTTCCGTGTCGGGAGTGGTTACCGCTAGATCGCTAAAGCCCGCTTCCCTCGCGTTCTTTTCAGGGTGTAAATTTCTCGCTCTTGGAAATGGTACTCTAATGTCTGTGGCCTCGACAGAGAGCGAGAAAGAGAGAGAGAGCGGGAGAGGCGGAGTGACGGAAGGTAGGAAGAAGGTGGAGCTGTGGTGAGGGAAGCCGAGATGGAGCGTCGGGATGTGTAGGGCAAAGAAGGTGCGGCAAGTTTTTCTTTGCGTAGCACGGGTTTCGAATTAGGTGTGTTGGATAGTGCGGTGATCAAGTTTTTTAGGGAGCTACGGTGTGGAGATCTGGAGTCGATTTAGATCATGGTTCAAGGTTTAATGTTTTATTCAGGTGGAGTACGCCATGGTAAGAGTATGCAAGGGCGGGTGATGGATTGGAAGTAGTGGTTTGTGGCATTGATGGTTTCGCGGAAGGTAGGTTTGGGTTGATGCGATGTTGAGTTGAGTGCGTTGGTGTGAGTGGGGGGCGTATCGCATTGGTTGGGAATTCGGTGCTGGTCGGCAGTTTCTGGAGCGTTGGGATATTGTGCTTGAAAACGGCTGCATTAACATAGTCTTTCTGGTTGCCGGACTAGTTTACCGACATTCTTATTTTCTTGTGCCAGGAGATCGTGGCACAGCAGATTGAAGGGATTTAGATTTTTTCCCCCCTTCTTTCATCCTGCTTCTATTCAATGTGGTTGCGACTGGGAGGCTGCTTTTTGGATCAGGACTGTGTGAGGCGGATTCTACAGCACAGCGATTAGCTCTGCTGTCATAAATAATCAGGTGATTTTTCTGTTCACTGCAATTCTACAAGTGAGTTTTAATCGAAGAGAAATCAGACAGTGCTAGGCCTGCACGACGTCTATATGTCTGGTTCGATAAAATTAGTTCTCGATGTTGGTTGTAGTCATGTTTATGTGTGAGTAACGGATTTGTACAATAACATTAGGCTTCGAAGTATGTAAGATTTTGTGTACATCTTGAGCTATTCTATTCTGGTTTCCCGTTCAGAACGTGTGGTCAACCAAACAACACTAGCTTCCCGACGGAGACAACAATATCACTGCTCACTGTTGAGGCTCTCGATGATTTTTGTGATTGTAGTTGATACCTCCCACGACATATCCGGCCGTGAATCCGTTTTCTAAATCAAACCTCCGTTATGTTTTGGGCTCTGGAAATGGAGCTTACTTTGTCTTAATTAGAAGTCCCCTACGTCAATCCTGGCCTTTTGAAACGAGGCAGCGATGAAATGGAAGGTTCATTTATCCTCGCTGTTATTAACCCTCCCTATCAGCCTCCGTTTTCCGAGGGGAAAGTTCAAGCCAGGAGCCGGATCAACAGGCTGGTGATTGGAAAAGATTGTTTACAACATATCTAGCTTTTATCTAGCATGTGGTTTAACTAAGTAAATGCTTCAGATCACTTGAGTTCTGTGGCAGGTTGTAGGTGCCGATCCCTGTTAGATGTCCCTTATATAATTCCACTTGTACGTTGTGGTTTCGAGAAGTGAGGCATTGAAGTCGACTTCGCAGCTTGGATTGGGATCATGAAATGCGATCTGTAACTGTCAACTGATGCAGTGAATGCATGTATGGACGTTTAAAGATCTCATGTTCTAAGCTTGCCGAAGAATGGTCATGAAGAATGATTAAGATCTGTAATCATTGCACAAGAATCGTAGCATAATCTAGATACTGAATCCAAAAGAACACGACAAAGTATATATAGTTATAGAACTTTTGTTCGTCATTATCTGATTCCTTTTTACGTGGGGCGGCTTATACATCGAAGTTCAGAGTAAGAAAGTTGTCGACTCGTTTTGTGGGTAGCTTGAACAAAGGTTACGTGCAATTTATGAACCTCTGTTAATACATTAGCTCCATCCTCAGCATAGCGGAACGTAAGTAGTCATACTTTGCCGGATTTATGGATTTAATAGTCAGGACATATTCTGGTTCCGACATCCTTAGATACACTCCTACTGCAATTAAATTAGTGCTTGTGTATTCCCTGGAGTGTTGCAGCTTTTTATCCTTGAATCGTATAATCCAAATCTTACAAATAAGACCGTAGTGTTTATATGATACATACTTCATTACTGCTTTTCCTAAAGCGATCAATTTGCTGTTTTATAGTTCTCTCTAATGGACTAGTGTCACCATATCAGTGCTCTTGAATTGATTTTTTCACTTAGATTCGAGTTGTTGCGAGGCAGAGCAAGTTGCAAACCTCCTCAGAAGGCAATGGCTTGTGATGTTCAGAAGAGAGGCAGTCAACGCGATGGGGACAATCAGGGAATTATTGGAGTATTATACAGGCGGTCAAGTTTGTTAGGAATGTGGTGGGTTGAAATGTGTACCTATCGCTCTGTGCTGATGTACGCTGGGATTGAAGTTTGAAAGAAATGCGGTGGAGTTGAGCTACGGGTGAAGGGCAAACAGGTATCCTAGCAAATGACGAAGTTCTAGTTCTTCTTGGATGCGATGATTTCTTAAAATTGTTTCTATTCTCTATGTATACTGAAACCTGCACAACGAGGGATACTAGGGAAGCTCAAGTGCTCTTTTCGGGTTTCTTACGCAGATTTGTAGCTGGGCAATGGCTACAATGGATAGACCTCGGATTGTACGGTGTCCTAGGTGTCTTGCACTTCTGCAAGAGCCTCCTCCAGGAACCCCTTTATACAAGTGTGGCAACTGCTCCACTGTCCTGAGAGGTATTTCTTCTTCATTGAGACGTGGCCTATGAGAACACCTGTTTTTATCAAAAGGAAACTTGTCACTTGAATGTTTTGCGTAACGTTGTCAGTCCTAACATCTTCATCAAAGACTCAGTAACTATTTCGATATTAAGCTATTTTTATTGTGTGAATTGGACGAAATAAGTAGCATGCATGATTTATTATGAGTTCGTGCTCTCATGGGGTTCAACAGAATTGTTTTTTAACTCGTGACCTTCACTGAGTACTGAATACCACTTTTTCCTGGCATTCGGTTTGAAAATGTGTGTTTTCCTCATTCGCATGTTAAGCCTGGTCTATTATTGTTCTCTCAATGTTTTGCAGCCAAACATGCTGCAACTGAGGGCTCTGGGACTAGAAGAGTATCGGAGCGTCCGCAACGGCATAATAGGAGTAATCCAGCTGGACATCCTGATAGTGTTGATGCTAGGTCGTTGCCCGCTAAACCAATGCCACCTGATCACATGTCAAGTCCCGCAAATTTAAACGACCGTAATGATATTAGAAGTGGAACTGGAATGAACAGACCTACTGCGGTCGCTGCTCGAAAAAATTCACCTAGTTACTCGGTACACCATGGTAATCCTGGACCTGGACCTCCCACACGTATGCCAAACAACATGAATGTAAACCACGACAGCGATCACAGGTCTGCGCATGATGATCGCAGTCTTTCTCCACCTAACCCATTGACAGTTCGTAGAAACAGAGATGATGATGTTCGTGGTAGGGAGGCTCCAGCAAATGTGCCTCAAACTAAGGCTTCTAGTCCAGTGAATGGAGATGTTAATTCTGGTAGAAGCCCATTCAGTCACGTGCATCACAAGGACCGGTCTCCTCCAGGAGCAGTGCCTGTGAATTCTTCAGCCGTAGATGATCTAACAGGCGAAAGAATGGGGCGTATAGATTTGCTATCTCGAAATGCACATACCTATGTAAACACTAATTCTCGTCTGGAGACTTCAACTACAGACCTGGTTGTTGAGGGAGCTTGCCCCAAGCCTCAACCAGCGAATATGGCGAGCGAGTCACCAAATTACAGGGAGAAAGAGAAGCAGAGAAAATCAGATGATGAAGGAGATAATGATTTTTCTCCCACGAGAGCTCTTTCTGCGATTCAGAATGCAGGTCCACTTTATAAGCTGAAGGAGCGACAAAAGCTTGGGCCGGGACCTAAAAGCAGTTTTTCACCACGTGGTTCTCTAGGAGGTCCTAGCAGCAGGGGTAGGAATAAGTCCCTAGGGGACGAATATTTGGAAGGAAGACATACTGACTTGGTTCATGACAAAAACCTAGAGTCTGGTCCTTCCTCAGGTGGACCAACAGAAGAGAAGCCTGGTTTGCATCGGCGACAGAGCTCAGACAGTGTGGCCATCAGCGCTTTTGGAAATGATATCTTCGTTGGCCATCCAGGTCTCCATACCATCAGGAGACGGGGGTTTGAAGATCATGTCACGGGAATAGATAAATCCCCCGAGGAAGAGTCGTCTGTGCGTCGTTTATCGCCAAATATGAACAGAGTTATTCAAAGTGCAGGGGTGGCAGTGGATAAACAGAAGAGCAGAGACCATTCACCAAGCGGTCGAGTAAAGGAAGTGCCGGAAGTACATGGTCGAAATTCGACTGCAAGGATCTCGTCATCTGATATTATTAGTCAGTTGAACGACACAAATAGTGAATTATCAATTCCATCAGAACAAGGCCTGCCATCTGGTGGAGATATATCTTTGGTCCAGTGGAGGCAGCAAAAGGATCTGAGTCACGACGAATTTCACAAAGAAAAGCTTGTTATCAAAAGGGATCCTTCTGACGACGAGCGCAAATCTGGAGAACTATTGGTTGGTCAGTCCTCGAGAACGGGCAGAATGTATTTGTCACCTTCTCGAAATGTAGTGATGTCTCCACCTGGTTCTTTTCCTAAATATTTAGGTGGAGGTTTTCAGCTACATCCAGAGCACTTCTCGAAATCACAAGAGCGCTCACGTCAGGTCTCAGATACTCCTTCGATTCAATTAGATGTTTATGGTCTACCTGATGTTTTGGACTATGATACTAGTGATGATTCGTCCAATGTGGACGACCCTGACCCCTACCCGATTGATTCAAAGCTGCACTCCGAAGAGCTTAAACCACCCACCCTTTCTCATAAAAGACAAGGGGACCAAGTAGTTGAGGTTGGTGGTGACAGTGGCAGATCGGATTACGAAGAGGAGCAAGATCTTGCTGAGACGAGATCTGATTCGAGCTCTGAAGAGCGCTTGGACGTCACTGGTAAATTTGGACCCGTTGTATCTAGTGGTTCTCCTCGTTTCTCTCCTCATCTTTCTCCCGAATCAGTTTATAGTGCCAATCAATTTCAAGCACGCGATCAACGGGAGCAACCGGTGCAGGAAAATCTCAATGGGCCTTCAGAATCGTCAAATAGTGTTGGTTTTGGCGAAGAGAAGGTGAAAGGTTCAGCTTATTCTTTGCTGAAGGGGAAATCTCAAACAATTAGATTGCAAATTAATTTCCATGTACCTGATCGTATTCATGTTGTGTGTCGACATTGTAAGCTGCAATTGGAAGTACCGCAGAATCTTTCTCCGAGCGAGTCAGGTGTACAGAAACTTCGCTGTGGTTCGTGCTGGAAAATATCACGCTTTCGCTTGAATCACTTACTGGAACTTTGTGGAGGTTCATCCCCAGCTGCAAGTGACAATTCACCCGAATCTTCTTTCCGACTCGGTTCGAACAGCTCTGATGGGTATTCCGGCACAAGGTCCAATCGAGAAACTGGATCTCAGGATCGAGTGGTGATCCGTACACAGTCAGGAGCTAGCCTTCCCGTCCCACCTTCAGGGCGACATAATCCACGTGCTGCTTCAGGATCTAAGTTAGTAAACATGGTTTTGGGTTCAAACCTACCATCCGAAACCTCTAAAACCTCATCTCCAAATACCTCTGGAGACTTGGGCCCATCTGAGAAGATAATGCGAAGTGGAAAGGAGAATGCTGACTTGCCTCCATCAAGTGAGGCTGAGTTAGTTCATACGACACTCTCACCTACATTCTCCAGCACAAGTCAGGATGTAGGGACAAGTCGTCAGCAGAAGATATCACCAGATCGCAAACTGTTGCAATCTAGCAGTGATTCTGATGAAGAGAAAGCTTCGGTTCATCTAAAAATTAGACCAAGTGCTTTACCTACACCGATGAGTGCATGGCCTCTTGATACTCCTGACTTTGATGATGGACAGGAGCTGAAAGGTCTTAAAGCGTTCTTCAAACGAAGTGTCAAGGAACTGACAAAGGGGAAAAAAGCCAATCAGTATCGTCGCAAGGTTGTAGTGAATGGTCATGCTCTTCCTGATGACGTAGTCAAAAAAGCTGAGGAGTACGCAGGATTCATACATCCAGGCTCTTACTGGTAAGTTGCTTCACCGTCATACATGATAGCTTTTCATGTGGTCAAGAAGTTTTGGTGATTCGGTATGCTTCTGATAATCAGTTGCTAAACCACATACGTATTACATGTACTATAGTTTGTACTTTAGCTTCGAAGTCACCTATAGTTTAGAGCTTAATTGGTCTGATTATTGTAAGTCTTGTACTTCATTATTTTTTCTCCTTGAATATTATTGATATTGAAGTCGGAAATATCTGTGGGTTTGTTGCCACCATTGAATTTGCTTCTTGTGGCACTGTCTGCAAACCGTAGAAAATAAAGATGCAATTATAGTGCTTGGAAGCATTATTATTGTATCATCATTTTCTAACTATTCACTATTCTTTAGTCGATTGGTACGAATTCATTTGATTCCATAGCTGATTTGGTCTGGTTTGAGTCGTTTCTGGCAGAATCTGTCAATATATTGCATTTAATTCTTGTTTAGCATTGGATTATCTTTGAAGTGCTAGCAAATTATGCTGTCAAGCTAGGTCTGTTATTTTGTGAGAGTATCTGAGTTCGCGATCCGTTAATATTTGCAGGTACGACATTCGTGCTGGGTTCTGGGGGGTCATGGGGGGACCTTGTCTTGGGATGATTCCGGTGAGTAAAATAAATTCTTCAACGAAGTTTCAAGCTTGTGCAGTGCTAGTGTGCTTTCTTGAAGCTGTTATCGGTTACAAGGTCTCACAAAGTATCGCATGTGTGCAGCCCTTCATTGAGGAATTAAACTTCACATTGGCTAGGCATTGTTCTCATGGGAAAACTGGAGTATTGGTAAACGGTAGAGAACTACATCATAAAGACTTGGAGCTGCTGAAGAAGCGTGGTTTACCAGGAACTCCCGGAAAATCTTATAATGTGGATATTGATGGACGTCTTACAGAAGCAGAAACAGGGGTTGAACTTAAAGGTCTTGGTCGGCTGGCACCAACGTACGAGCCCAGCGTTTTCCTCGTTAGCTTGAAAGTGAAATTTGTTACTACTTATATCAGCTGCAGGTTGTTCTTGGAGGTGTTGCAATATTCCCTGCAGTGTCTAGCACTAACTGTGATATTTCGTTTTCAGGTTGGAGCAGACCGGTAGAGGTCCAGGCATGTGGGTACCAGAAAGTCAAAGAGTTTCATAATTGTCCTCGGAGATTGTGCATAGTATCCATGGCTTCTCATTTGAAGGTATGATTAGTGTCTTGGCTTGGTGTCCTCGTTGGACCCGGAAGTTGGAACCAGGATATTTTTGCGACAATTTACTCTGGTAGGTATGCCATCTTACTTTTCTGTCTTTTTGAAGTCCCCTCAATGCTCGAGAACTGTTCGGAGTTGCGGTGATGTGTTGTGCCTTATCACATCACGGAAACTTATTTTTATATATTCATCTTCATCATGTTGAGACACGAATGTTTTACATTTTGTACTTGAATTTCTTCAGTGATTGATGTGTTTCTTGTGATGATTTTGCAGGCATTAGATTAGGAAGTCACGTCCAATCGTGACTTGAAATCAAGATCTAGTTTTTGATTGGTCTAGCTTGGCTTTTTACATTTGCTGTACACCTCCGTTTATCGTGTGATAATGAATTTTTTTTCGTATACATTATTAGTCCAATTTGATGACAGATGGTGGGTGTTCTTTGTTTCTGTTTCATCAGTGGACAGAGGATTATTCATTCTTGCGTTAGTGGAAAAATGAAGGTAAATATATCTCTAAGACTGAAATGATTTGGAAGTAGGATTTTTTTAACAGGATTTGGTCACGGCAAGTCTAGATTTTACAGAACATTTCAAACGTATGAAGGTTTATAGGATATTTTCTAGAGGTGGATGTTGTGCAGCATGAGTAAGATGTGAAAGATAAGTAATATTTGTGCATTAATCACGAACACTGTAGAAAGATTGTATTCAATTGATAACTTTTGTAGGCTAGTTACCAAGTGATATTCTTAGGATGGGGAATGATGATGCGGTTCATAAATAGTCAAGACTTATTATGTACATGCCACTCAATTTTGTTGTTCTAATCCTATTTTAAAGAATAAATTTCCTTGTAGCAATTGATTTCCATCCCCACAAAAGTATTTAGGATTCCATTGGATTACATATTATTTTAAAAGCAAATCAAGGGACCTCAATTCTAATGTGCATATGTATACATGTAATGAGTTTAAAAATTGTCTTAATGTTTGTACTTATTCCATATCTTAACTTATTGCAACAATTTTTTGACTATTAAGTCAATACTTTCTTGGCTCTACTTTTGCCTTCAAAAGTGCCTCCATACAACATGGCTTGCTATCTACAAGGTTGAGAATGACTTTTTAATTGTTTCTTCTTAATCTTCTTCTACCTTCTCCTATAAATCTAATATCTTAGATAGTTGAGTTGGTCAAGCATTCAAACAATATTTGAGATGCTCCCACAAATATTCAATTGAGTTGAGGTCCAAAGAATGCGCTAGCTATTACAACAAGCCAAATTTATCAAAATATTCTTTTGTTATTTTTGAAAGTGTGCTTTAAATCATTGTCTTTCTAAAAAATCACATTATTGATATCCATGTTTTAATAATCCAAGGTCTCTATGAACTATTTGAATAAAATTTTGTAATAGAAGTTTGCATCCATATTCTTTTTAATCTTGGTGAAATAACATATGATATAGGTGGTCATGCAATTTCAAACCACTACCGTGTTAGGTGATTGTCCAACAAGTATGGTTCAACAATGCTTCTAATATCAAATTACTTTCCACTTTCTTCTCTCTTATCCAACCTCAACTTGGTCTGGTTAGACTATACAAATTTTTGCTAGTCTTTAATAATTGAGTGCTTGAATTATTTGGCAAAGTCCAAATATGTTTGATAGTGAAAATGTGATAACAATGGCTTTTTGGTTATTGATGCCACTCATAATCCATTTTCTTGAGCATATTACTTTACTATTTAGGCATACATAACCATATTGGTGTTACTAGCATGATTTGCAAAAACTTAAACAAAAATATCTACCTTATATGTTATAATATCATATAAGATTTTTTGCTTATTGACATTAGATAAAACTTGCAATTAATTTGTCTTGACATCAAAACCCCATAAGGTACACCTATTGGAAATGCAACCAATTATTTCAAACCTAATACGAAGTTGAATTGACACCTTATGTACTAAAAGCCCATCTTTCAATAATTTTTTTTTTTTTTTTTTTTTTTTTTTTAATACAACAACATGCATAATAATAATGAAACAATCTAAGTGAGTGTGGTACAATTTTTAGACCAATAATGGTATGTATGTATGTTAGTAGAAGAGTGCAACAAGGCCTTATATATTAAAGAAACAAAAGAAGTGCAAAAATAAATGAAGTGGTATAACAATGAAAGACAATGGAGATTGCAATTGTATTTGTAATGAATAACAATCAAGGAGTCAAAAAATTATCTCAATAAGTGGCACTTATATATATAGAGAACTCTTCATCTACAAATCTAGTTTATAAAAACCTTTTAAAACAAAGGCTCTTGAATTACATACTTACGACTTTACTTATACATATTTATTTTTTTATATCACAAAAAATTTAAACTAAGTCAAATTTAAATATATATATTTTAAAATTATTATATATGTTCAAATGATAAATACTTTGTACCAATTATATTAATTTAAAATTTTAAAATTATAATCAAATCTTTAAAAATATAAAATATGATATAGAATATTTGTCTTGATGCTTATACGAACTTATTTTTTTAATATTATAATTTATTATAAAAAATAATATCATCAAATAAATAATTCTAAATTTATTTAAAATATTACAAAATATATTACATATATTTTATTATTTTATCATTTTTTATTTTTATGATAAATAATAAATTGATTTATACATTACCATTTGTTCAAAACTTTAGAATTAAATAGAATTTTGATACTAAAGACATTATTATTTGTATTCTTTAATATCTTGATGGTTCATATATTATTATTTATATTATTTATATGATTTTTTTATGTTGGTTATTTTTATGATGGTTATATTTTAATATTCATATTATTTATATTATGGTATATCTACTATCTTATATAGTTAAAAACAGTCATACAAAAAATAAGATGAATCTTTATTAACTCTAGTACATATTATTAATATGCAACCAAGTTGATTTGTTCACTAATAGAAAATAAAAAAAGTCTATAATAATCCAATTCATTATTAGAATGATTAATTTTATATTACATCAAAATAACCACATCTTATTACCAACTTGGAATTGAAGTTGCTTCTTCTAATAGACATTTGCATTGAACTTTTGTTATCCTAAAGCTTCTTTTAATTATACCTTTATTGTTGTATGTAGTATTAAGAATTGATTTGCCAAATATTTTGCTAAAAGACTATCAATTTAAAAATAATAAAAAATGATCAAATCATAGATGAAAACCATAGTTAACTTAAAATGGTGATTTTTGAGTAGAATAATTTATCATATTATTATAGGCAAACTTTAATATTGGTAAAAGAATTTTCTAATTACCTTAATAATAGTTGATAGTACATCATAAGAACTGCTATAACATTTGATTCACTTGATATTGTGTTGTAATACAGCTAATGGATGAAAGAAAGAAGAAAAAATTACATTATACTTGAAGAGAATTAGTCATGAATCTGGGTAGAAATATGATCCCAAGCACTAAAACATACCCCTACAACTAAATTGTGATTCTTTTATCAATTAAAAAATAAATTAGAGAGCAAACTTATTAGGATTTGATTAAGCATTAATATTAAGTGATTCAAATTAATATTGAATTTTTTAGAGCTTTTTAATATAAAAAGGGTTTAAAATGGTTTGTATTTTAAAAAAATAATAGAGAGTTTATATATTTAAGAATTTTTAATTATTTTAATATTTTGATAGGTGAAAACTTGTGAGTTTGTGCATCTATTTTGTCTTTAATTTTTTTACTCTAAATTGACTTAGAATCTAATAAAAAAAAATTACTAAATTTATGAAGAAATACTTTTAACTCTATTTATTTAGAAAAGTATTCAATCATTACTAATATATATTTGTTATGCCTCTTAGTCATTAATAATAGTCTTGTAAAATCTAGATTCGATTGATATCTTAGCCCCATAATAAATAAAGGTTGAAAAATTGGCATTAGTATATTAAATAAAGTATGGACCTTGTTACACATTTACCACCTAAAAAAATCCGATGTATTTCTTCTTGCATGCCAACCCACCAATATTAACTCTATAGAAGACTATAAGCTTATTTCATCTTAAAATATCTCAACTCTTTACAGATGTGTAGTACTAACTTTTCATGTTCTTGTGGCCTTAGTATCACACATTTCTTCTCATTTGGATTCTTCTTAAATAAATGAGCCTCCTTCCATTTAAATTATTTGGTTTGTTGTTGGATCCTATTTCTTTCTTTAGAAGTTATTTCAAGTGGTAATTCTTTGATCTTTAGATAATGCAAAATTTGTCTATCCTTAAAAACATCTTTGATGCCTTTAGACTCTTTTCTATCTTCTATTTCATTAAAAATATCTTTTGATGAATTTTCATTTATTGCTAATAAACTAAGATACAACAATGCATGCTATATAGATACCTCTACCTTATCCTTTCTAATTCAATACCTAGCTCATATAGAATTCCTTTGACTTAGGCATGGATTTCTATTCAATCCATTTGCATCTATATTTACCAATCTTGCCATATGCACAACCTTGAAGTCCTATTTTTATAGCATAAAGGCCTACCTTGTAAGTTTTTCAATCAGTTTATTAGATTCTATGAGCCATTTAAGTAGTTAATGGTTTATTATTAAAAAAATTTACTACTATATAAATAATATTGAAAGTATACAATTTCCCATATTGTACCTAAATATTCTCTTTTATACCTAAAGTAATCTAGTTTATATGCAACTGATGTGGCCTCCTTGAAATAGGCCTTTGCATGATTGGTGCTTTAACCAATTTTATCTTAAGTTTTATTAAAGCTGATTCTCGTTCATCACTCTATATCTACTCTTGAACATTTTTTATAAGCATAATTAAAGACTTTGATATGCAGCTATAATTTGCAACAATTTTTTAGTAATAATTAATTAATCCAAGAAAATTTCTCATTCAATTCATATCTTTGTAGCCTGGAATGCTTGCCAAGGCTTCTACCTTATTCTTCACAAAACCAAGGCCTCCTAAATAAATTTTGTACCGCAAATATTCTACATGTGAATAAAAGAATATATATTTACTTAGATGCAACTTTAGTCCATGATTTATTAAGTATTCCAACATCATTTTAAGATTTTTTCAATATTCTTTCTTTTTCTTGGTAAAAAAAAAAAGATATCATAAATATAATATCTCAAAAAAATAGTTCCATAAGCACTCTATCAATCATCTTTTGGAATTTAGCAGGTACATTTTTTATTTTAAATAGTAGAAAATTTTATTTATATAATCTATCTTTTTTAAATACATCAATCTTCTAAAATATTTTCTTATGTCTATTTCTTTCTTTCAATGGTAGTTGATAATATCCAAATATCAAATCCAATGTATTGAAGTTCTTTATATATCTAAAAATATCAAATATATTTTTAAAAATAGATATGTTATATTTATCTAATTTTTTTCTTTTTTTAGTAGATATATACTTGCTATACATTGACTCTTCTATCCAATATCTAAAGATGTCTTTTTTAGAAGATATTATAGTAGTTGATGCATATTTTTCATTATTTTTTTTTTCCAATTTTGCATCTAAAAGTACCTTAATTATAGATTTATTAATTCTTTTTTTACTATACTAGACCTATAAGGTTTGTAAAAAATAGGAGCATCATCTACCAACTCAATCCTTACTTCTTATCTTTTAAGAATATCTAAATCTTTCAATCTAAAAGTAAAAAAATCTTTAAATTCTTTTAATTTTTTTTTCTTGTCTTGCCTTTCTATTCCCTTTTCATGCCTCATATTTGATTTCCAATTCTCTGCTATTAATAGTAGCTTTTCCTTCTTTGAAGTAGATGACACTCTTAGTGGTTATTATGTAATCTCAATAGATACATGGTTTGTCTTTTCTATAGCAAACATGTCCAACAAAAATCTCATACCATTATTTGTTTTGGCATTTCTATTGACAAATAATTTTTAAAAATTATTATTGGAAGATATAGCAAAATATCCCTCAAGTGGTGTTTCTATACTTTACTATTTTTAAGATTATAATGGCTTTTGTTTCTTGCTCTTAGCTACAATATCATCTATTCTAAGATGTGGTAGATTATGTATTGCAGCCTATAGCTTTAAATATAATGACACATATGACTATGTAATGTAAAAATATTATTTCTCTTCTACAAAAATAGCTAATATTTATGTCAAAAAATTCAAATCCATTGCTTGTCAAAATAACATTTATTGTTGATATTTATAGATAAAACTATCAAGTAACTAAGATTTAGGATTTAGGGTTTAGGGTAAAAGTATGCCATGGGATTTCTCACTAATATTTCATTGTATGTAGGTTACTAGAAGATAATCTCAATATTCTACCTCTAGCCAAGTCCTTGAATTCAAAATCAAAGATATTATACTAATAATTGATGGCTTATACAATTAATACTCCTTCAATTCTTTCTAACAGCCTCTTGAGCCGATGATAAGCATCACAATAGGTTTATTTTTTCTTCAATTAAAATTATTAGAGCTTTAATATCTTATTCAACTTCTAGCCTCACTAGTTCAATCAAAGCACTTCAAACAAACTCAAAATAAAGTTAAATAATGATTGTTGTTTCTTATCTACTTTGATTTTATACTTATCTCCTTCTAAACTTTCTCTATCTTTAATCTTCATCTTAGGATCTATATTTTTTCTAATCAATAAAGTGCCAATATCAACTCTTTGACCACTAATTTTTATTGGTCCTCAAAATGAGTTCTTAGAATTTGACATCCAATAATTCTTGAACATCTTGATTTTTACTTTTTATTGGACTTTAAATTTTGAATGATTGTACTTTGAAGCACCTTTTTAGTATTAGAAGAATACTTGCTAGGTGTTGTAAGGATTGAATACTAATCTCTTCTTAGCTTGGCTATTATACTCAGCTCCAAATTCAATGATAAAGTCATCAAGTTTAATGGTGTTTACAATACCAAAAAACCTCTATTTTTCTTAGATGGCTCCATAAACTTGCTCTATTTTTTTTTGTGCTATTGAAATTTAATGTACAACCACCAATATATTTTTTTAAATAAATAATTAATTTCTTTTATTATAGGTGATTCTATATTTCTAGTAGTCTTTATTATTCTACTATCACAAGTTAGCCTTTAATCACTAATTATTTTATTTTTTTCTTAATTCTTTAATTTCTAGAAAATTAAGAATTAAATAAGACATACTATTTTTAGCCACATTTCTAAGTAGATCTAGTTTAGAATTATTTTAAGCCTTTATACAATTATTTTATTGAAGTTGTTGAGGCCTCATTAGTAAACTACCATGGTTTATCAATCAAAATTCTAATAATTTTTAATATATTGCAAAAATATTATGATTTTCAACTTATTATCAAAATCTAGTGATTTTTAATATATTGCAAAAACCTTATGATTTCCAACTTATTGTCAAAATCTAGTGATTTTAAACATATTATAAAAACCTTATGATTTCCAACATGTTTACCAAAATCCTATGGTTTCCAATTTGTTGCTAAATTCCAATGATTTCTCCCACCAATCAATGACTCAATTTAAGCCACTTCTATCTTCATAGACCTTTTATGGCTAAGGTAGAGTCTTATTATGTATGAATTAAAATAAACCTCCATTAGCTAGAAGTTCTTTATAATTCATAAATGAATTAATTATGAAATTTTGTAAATTGTATCTATTGATTAAATTTTGATTAAATTATTCTATATCTTCTTTAAATTAACCTCTTTTAGTCAACAAAAACCATCACTTTAATTGTACTTGTAAAATAAAGTCATTCAAAAATTCATGTATTGATAATAATTTTTTTATTATATTATATTATATTTTTATTTTAATGTAATTAATCTATTATTTAAAAAATTATCCAAAAATAAAAATTCATCCAAGAATAGATTCTCATCTAATACCAATTTGCATACAAATCCTAATTCATCTAAAAACCTAACTTTATCTAAATTCTAACTTCATCTATTGATATCAATATCTTTATGAGAATATTTCTTATAATAAATTCATTTCCATGACCAATACCATAAGTTCTACTAATAGATCTTAATTGGTTAAACTCATCAATTGAAAGAAAAACCTCCAAAATCTTTCAGATATTGGCTCCTTTCTTTCTTTAATTTGAATGTTGATCTTCCAATAATGATTTCTTCTTTTTGAACTATTAAATTGCTTAAAAAATTGGCTAGTATATAGATTTCTAAGTCTAAATTGCTCTCACTAATTTGTACCTCAATTAAATTGGAGGATGTTGCAAGATTGTAAAAACATTTTAAAGATAATATGCTAAAATATTTTTATTTAAGCTCTTCTATAATAAAATCTTTTCTTTCTTCTTTCACTTAATGGCTATACATTACCATGTGGCAATTGCCTTTGCATCTTTCATTCCAACTTCTTCCAACTTTTGACAAATATATTTAATTTAGCTCAAATTAATAGTATCATTCTTCTTATGTTATAAAAATTTAATGCAAAGAATAATAAGGTTTACTTAGGTCTTTTATCTTATAGCACTCTTTCAATTCATCTTTTCATTTTATAGGAATCTCAAAGTTTTTGCCACTAATAAGTATATTATCAACATAGATGATTATTGCAAAGAATAAGCTTTCAATATAAATTTTGTATAGAGAAGAATTTGTTTTTGAACATTCATAACGAAGATTCAATAAAGGTCTATTTAAACTCTTCTTCCATCCATATTCAAATTGCTTCAAAATGTACAAAGTCTTTAGCAATTGCAACACCTTGCTTTTGTACTCAAATAGAACTTCTAATCATTTTGGAATCTTTATATAGATGGCTTTTTCTATAAATTTACCATTTAAATAAGTTGAAATAATATCAAGTTGCAACATATTCCAATTAAGAGTAGCAAAAGTTACAAAAAATATGTAAATTGTTATAAGATGAAGAACTAGTACAAAAGTCTCTTAGTAATTAAGACCTTTTACTAGAGTAAAATCCTTTGCAACTAACTATGCTTTAAAATGCTTATTGGAGCCATTGCTAGCAAATTTCTTCTTAGATACTCATTTTGAATTTATAACCTTTTTATCATTTGGTAAAAATAAAAATTTCCATATACTACGATCTTTGAAAGAATCAAGTTCTTTCTTCATGGCATAACTCTTTTTCTTGCAAAAAGATGAGTTCATGGCTTGCTCAATGATTTTTGATTTTACTTACTCATTAACATAAACAACATCCATTGTTTCAATTGGCAAGTCATTATCTCCTCAAACAAAATTTTTGTCTTTTTTCCAAGGGATATAATGCATCCTACTACCACTTATGATACTTATAAAGTCAATTCTACATACATAACAACATCTTGGTAATAGAATTTGAGTAGTTGTAAGTCACAAAATCGACTCATTTATGAATTTTATATAAAAAATATACTTTTATTACCTAAAATTAGTAATTAAATAAATTATTATAGAAATTAGCAAATTTTATTAAAGATCTAGTATTTGTAATAGAAAGGTAATAATAGATGAAATTATTTGGACACAACACTTCTACAATTGTCTTATTCATTATTAGAATTGCTAAAAATCAAAGACATTTAGAAATCAAAATTAAAAATCAAGGAGTTGCTTACCTTGAAAGAATCCTATGATACTTACATCTCAATAATAAAATAAAATAAATATAGGAAGATTGTCTTTCTTAGAAAAGAGAGTAGTAGGAAGAAAAAAAATAGTAGTAGAATGGTAGGAGTAGTAGTGGGAAACGATAATAAGAAAACTAGAAAAGAAACGTAGTAAAAAAAATAAAGTATGGTCTACTAATTGATCTTTTCGGAAGAGGCTTTTGATCCGGAAATCCTCAAAGGAGGTGCTTGCCGGATTCCCAGGAGGGAGCTGACGGTGTCCAGAGACGTTGGAGGCCCAGCCTTAGTGTAGTCTCTCTCTCGATTTTTTCTTGTTGCGGGAGCTCCGCGTTGTGCAGGCTGTTTTTTCCTTCTTGCTTGTAGCTGGGAGCTCGAACTGCTGAGGGACGGGGGATGACGTTGCAGTACGGCGGTTGACTTTAGCTTGTGATGGTATTGTTGGCTGCGGAAATGTGTAGCCTTGTCTAGCGGAGGTGCGTTCTATGTAGTTTGTGCTGCGGTGCGGCCTGTGTTGTTTTCGGCAAGCTGGCGGCCGTGTCAACACAGGTCTTTCCTGTTAAGCTGGTTGCTGATCTCGGCGGCCCTGCGATTACGGCGTTTTTTTGTTCTCAAGGCTCTCTGGCTCTACGGGTTCGATGAGGCGCTGGTTGTGAAACCAGGAAGCTGTTGTTGTTAGCTGGCGGAGCAATGCGGAGTGCTAGTCGCTGGATTGGACTAGCGCAGTGTGTGGTGGTATAGAAACTGCGGCTGAAGGGAGCGGGATCAAGCTGCCATTCTCCTGCAGCTCTTGTCGTCATTTGTCGGGTTATACCTCCCTGACAATTGTCACCCTGCTTCTCTCTTGTGGAGTTTTGGGAATCTAGAGTTACAGTTTTTAGTTGTTGTGGCATTATCCCTTGATTCTGTTTTTCTCGTCGTCGGTTGCGATGGAGCACCGAAGCGATCTCCTTCAATTTTTGGTTATTCTTTTAGTTCATGCAAAGGAGTCGTGACACTCCTACGCTAACCCTTTGTTTTACTTCCTTCTGTTATTCTTATTAGTTATAGTTGATTGACGGACGGTTTAGTCCTTTCCATTCGTTAACTGGAACTATAGCGCTGCTGGTAATCTCACTATCGTTGAAGTGGGGCTACGACGGTAGAAGTGCTGGAGCTGCGTTATAAGTGGCAAAGAGCGGCGTCGTCTTCCGTTTTTGGTCCTGCGATGGAGGTGGTTGTTGTCTGCGGGGGTTGCTGTTCTTAATTCTCTGGTTTCGTCGGTGGCGGCACGGTCGAGGTTGGAGCAGAGCCTGGTGGTTCCTACAACGTGCGGCAAGAGTTATACTGCTATAGCTGTGTATGTTCTAGTTTTTTTGTGGCGTGCAGCGGTTCAGGCAAGATGGTCGACTGTTGCAACGGTGGATTGCGGCCAGAGCTCGCACATGCAAAGCATCCCTGTTTTCCTTGGCCTCGAGTGTGTGTTGCTTGCGAAAGCCGCGGCCTCATCAACTGCGGTGCGGGCGGTGGCGGGATTACTTACGTAGAGAACTGTTAAGCAGTTGGTTTATCGTCCCTCCTTAGGCGAAACTCATCAATTGTTGTGGAGTAGGTGGAAGCCAAGGGATTCTGGTTTTTTTGTTGTTTTTTCCTTGCGACGAACCGTTGGTGCGTATCAATCACTGGAAGTGAGCTAGAAGAGTTCCCCTAGTGGAGCTCTCGGCAATTCTACTAATGTTGCCGTATGAACATACACGTTTTTTTTTTTTTTTTTTTTTTTTTTTGTAATCTACAACAAAATGGATTGAATTGGATTAATGGTCATTAGATTTTGATATTTAATTCCTTTAAAAATTCTTTAGCTTCATAAATTTTGTGAAAAGCAAAAAGAATCGTTTATGACACCTGACTTAAGAGAGCACAAGCAGAAATCGCTGCTGCATATACAATTGCCAATATCGAGTCCATGGAGCTAGAAGGCGTTGACACTATCGCAGTCGGTCGAAGGATCTAGCACATGAGCTTGTTACCGCCTCAGTATAGGATCTAGTAGGTGGATCAGTTCATTAGATAGGTGGATCTGTTCATGTTCAGTCGATCTAGAAGTCGGAGCAACAACTTCGAGTTACCCAGTGAATACACGGAGATCGACAACCCTTGGCAATTGATGCCTCGTGAACCTTGCAGGATCATTGGTGACTGAGGATAACTACATCCACTTATTCATGGCTTGTCGACTATAGCGGGTGCAATTTTGAAGGGAGCGTGCTTTGACTGGTCAAGAATTAGAGAGGGTTGGAGTTGTGGAGCTGCTACAAGTTGAAAAAATTGAAGTTGCAGTTTAGGAGTGGTGGATTTTCGATCGAATGGCAAACTGGATCGGAGGCCCTTCAAGAATTGTTGCTCTGTAGGCAATCCGTAAGTAGCGAGAACCTGTGTATTGCAGTTGCACATGGACGAATCTTGAAGTAAATGAAGGTAAGGTAAGAATGGATGAATATAGTTGGATGACCTTTTTATATCAAGGATGAATTTCAATCACAGATTAAATTTTTTAGATGAAATAATATTTGTAGATGAATTGTTATTTAAGGATGAATTCTCATTTTTGGATGAAACTTTGTTAATAGATGAGTTTTAATAAAAAATAAAATAATAAAAAATAATATGAATAACATGTGATTAACTTGTTGACTAAGTTTCTAATGTATCAGTCAACTATAAATACATGTAAAGTCAAAGTAATATCTATGGAGCTTCTAAAAAGCTATTTTAGAAGATATTATGAAATTAATCTTTTTTTACTTACTTGTATCTTTTTATATTATATAGATAAAAATTATAATAAACATATGTTCATAATATTATCTTCTATTCTAATATCAAGTTCTACAAGGAATAGTGATCACATGTCAAGGAAGTCTAAGATGTAAAAAATTATATTTGTGGCATACTTTGTTCTTTCTTTCCTTTGAAAGTAGTTAATGGATCTTTTCAACCATTAATAATGTTCAATTCTAAGGTAGAAAGACCACCTTGTTATTTAATCATTGTTGAAACTTTTATAACTTCCTTCAAACAAAATATTTGTAATACTATCAAGAGTTATTCTTATCTCAAAGTAGAAATAAGGTTTTTTCTTACGATAAGCATCCACATTGCTCTTTTGTTGTTCTTGAGCCTCTTTTAGTTGCACCTTCATTGTTATATGTAGCTCAGATAAATGATTTGCCAAATCTTTTGCTATAAGATTATCAACTTTTGAAATGTCAAAAGCATCAAGCCATGAATAATAACCATAATTAGGAAAAAAAAATATTTATTGCATAAAAAACTATACCATATTATTATAAGAAAATTTTGCTAATGGCAAAAGAGATGTCCGATCATCTTATTGGTAGTTGATGGTACATTTCAAATATTGCTCTAAAATTTGATTCATATGCTTTGTTTATCCATCAGTTTGAGGATGAAAAGTCAAAGATAGTTTTATACTCACTTTAAGAATCTTAAAAATTATTTTCTAAAATCTTAATATAACTTGAGTTTTTTTAACCAATATGATATCCTTAAACAATCTATGATAGCAATAAATGTTGTCAATAAAAAACTTGGTTGTTTCCTCATTTATGATAGATTTTGTACATGAAAAAAAATGTACCATCTTAGTGAAATGATCTACTATCACAATATATAGTCACAAGAACTTTAGACTAGAAGATCTATGATAAAATCTATAGAATCAAAAGACCATAGTCGTTTCAGAATAGATAATGGCTGAAAAAGTCCATAAAGTTGATGATAAGAAATTTTTGATCTTGAACAAATATCACAAGATTGTACAAAATCTTTGATTGCCATCCACATTTAGAACTACCAAAAATCCTTGGATATTAGTTTTAAAGTCTTATTATATCCAAAATATCTTACTGCTAGAAAATCATGACGAGTTTAAAGAACTTATAATTAAACATCACCTTCTAGAATATATAAGCATTCCTTGAAATATAATAGATTGTTCTTGAATTCAAACTTAGAAGTATCATAATACTTTGAAGGATTTTTTTTAATATCACAAATAAGAGGTTCAAAAGATATACTTGATTAAACTTTTTTAATGAAAGTTGAATCAAGAATTAGTATTAATTTCATTGCTTCAAGATGAAGATACTTTGGTTTCAAAAGAATTATTTGTTGTTAATCAAAAGTGACATTTCTTTTGTTTAATACAATGTAAGATTGTCCAAAAAGTGTATTTGAAAAACCTTGTTGTTTTTTTGATTGATAAGTAATCTTGAATTTGAATCTTGATAAAAACATATTCTAACAAGCTTGGCAATAATTCAAAACATACGCTAATATAAAATACTCAAGGTTCTTATGATCCATATATATATTAAGTGGATTAAGAGCACCTTCTAAATAAAGGTGCCATTCTTAAAGTACATCCAAAATTACAAGAAGTTATTTTTTGTGGATCTTGTAATTGATTTTGATTACTAAAAATTTTTAAAAATGAAAAACCACTAAGTGAAGTTTATCATCAATTCCCATTTATCATAATATAGCACCTAAAGAAAATTCTAATGTATCTATTTTGATAAAAACTGACTTAAAAAAATAAATGCAATATAAGATTGGTATAGAAACAAAGCTTTTTTTTTAAAGCTTCAAATATTACTTTTGCTTCTTGATTCCATTAAAGTTTGTCTTTATAAGTCAAACATATAAATGGAGTTGTACCTTGAAAGAAATCCTTGATGAAGATCCCATAGTATTTGGTAAATCTCAAAAAGCATTAGACATCTATTATTATTTTTGAGATCTTTCAATCTATAATAGTTTAAATTTTCTTCAAATCCATCTTTTGAAATAATATATCTTAAAAAGTCAACTTAACTAATATAAAATACATACTTTTCTATCTTGGCATAGAATCTTGCATCTCTTAGTTTTTGCAATACATAATGAATATAAAGTTTAAATTTTTTGTATTTTTAGAATAGATTAAGATATTGTCTAAATAATAAATAATAATATCGTCCAAAAACTCTCAAAAGACATCATTCATTAGATTTTGAAAAGCTATTGATGCATTTATAAGTCCAAAAGGTATGATATTATATTCAAAATGTCCATACTTAATTTAAAATTCAGTCTTCCATTCATCTCCTTTTTTAATGCATACTAGATTGTATATCCCTCATAGATCTATTTTTGTGTAGATCTTAATTTGATTCAGCTAATCAAGAAGTCTAGATATAAAAGATAGCACGTACTTATTTTTTATGGTGATCTTGTTGAGTCTTAGTTATACTTTTAGAAAAGTTGAAATTACAAGAAATCCAAATTATTTGAGGATTGTATTTTTTAATTATGATAAACTTAAAATAACTAGATTAAAAAGAGATTTAATGATAGTAAATACCACAAAATTACTATGACCATTAGTTATTACTTTTAAAAGAAATATTTCATAAATAACATCTTCAAATGACAACAAACGACCATCTATGATTTCTACATGAATAAGTTTTGTTTTCTTTACTAAAAATATATTATGGCTTTTGACAAAGTCTTTATCTAAAAAATAAATTGAAGCTCTTGAATCTAGCAAAGTAGAGACTTTGTGATATTTAGATCCTAAACTAATGTCTATTGTAAAACAAGGAGAGGATTCTAAGGAGAAAATATGAACTTCATTAGGTATTGTATAAGGTTTCAATTGTATACTTCCTATTATACTTAGATAAATTCGTTTTTTGATAAATTATCTTTTTTAAAAGTTGTACTTTATATTTTATGATTGCATTGCTTCTTTAAATAATATTGAGTAGTGTGCTTTGATTCTCCGTAATATAAACACAATCTTTCTTAACAACAATAAGTTTTTTTCTTACTCAATAAGAAATATGAAACACACCACATCAATTTGCATATCCTCTACTTTCAAAGGAATGTGTTGAAAAGATATTAGTATTTCCATTGAATTATCATAATATTGAGGCTTATTTATGCAATTTTCAAACCAAAATTTAAAAAATTAATTGTCACACTTTATAACAAAATCAATTGCTTGTCTCAATATTTGAGGATTGTATAAACTAAACATAAATTTTTTTTTCCTCATATTGTAATCTATAAAAAAATTAGCTAATGAGTGTAGTATCATTCTATTTGATATCAATCACAAGTTATATCAATCATAAAGCATATAATGTTATAGATTGATTTCTTTGTTAGAAAATATGAAACTTGTTTGTTGTAATATAAAATACATCATGTTTTTCATATATAAATCAAAAATCTATAAAAATAGCTTCTAAATTGTCCAATATTTAGTCACATTGTTAAAAAAAAGATGAAAATCATAATATCACTAAATCAAAAAGTAATATTTTAATAAGTCTAACTTATGATCCTAGAGTTGGATAGCTTTGGAATTGAAGTTTAATTTTTAATTGTACTTAATTGATGAATCCTCAAAACTTAAATTTTATGCCATTAAACTTTTCAAGTAAGAAAATTCTTGGTTTTCTACTATTTGAATAGTATTCTACCATAGAAGAAAGAATATGATTTAATATAGATGTTCAAGCAACTCCAATCATCTCTATATCTCTACTTTCTATCATTTTTGTTCTTTTTTGTGGTGGTAAATTGAATTGATGCATTACAAGCAATAATTCACTCAATTGTTCTTACATTTGTGCCATTGCACTCTTTATTTTGACAAGTTCTACCATAATAACAATTAGAAGAAAAAAGATGTCTAATATACTCAAGACAAATAAAAAAAAAAAAAAAACTTGAGAACAAAAAAAATGATATTAGCTTAGAAGAGAATAATACGTAATTTCTAATATGCTAATATCTTATTAAGAAAAATAGATAATCTATTCTTAATCAAGAAAAGGTGAGGTTCTAATATTATAAATATACTCTTATGAATTTGTTAAGGATAAGAATTCAGTTAAAACAAATAAACAAGTGAGAATTTTTTAAAGAATTATAATAAAATAAAAATAAAGAAGTATATATATTAAAAAAAACTAGAATGGCTATTGCCAAAAGATAAAAAAAAAAATATTAGAAACTTCTTAAAATTAGATTAAAAGCAAAAAAAGATTTGATAAGAATGAAAAAGGCTTCACTCTTGTATCTATATGTATTTACCTAGGATCTACATGGCAACATTCTATAATACCTCAAAATGTATTGACTTTATGCAATATGTATTTTAACTTAGAAGACAATTTTTTTATATAGATGCTATATAGTTAGCTTGTTCTACAAGCTATTAATATGTATAGCATGTGGTTAATTTATTGACCAAATTTCTAACCTATCAATCAACTACAAACACATATAAAATCAAAGCAATGTCTTTAAAACTTCTAAGAAGCTTTCATAAAAGATATTATGAAATTAATCTATTTTTTCTTATTTTTATTTATTCATATTACTCAAGTAATAATAATAATAAATATATATTTGTAATATGAAGATAATTGAAGAAGTTGTGCATGATCATAGAGGAAGTCTTCTATCTTCTTAACAATAA